TCCCAAGCTTTAAACATCTCAAGGAGCACTGTGCAAGCAATTATATTGAAATGGAAGGAGTATCAGACCACTGCAAATCTGCCAAGACCCGGCCGTCCCTCCAAACTTTCATCTCAAACAAGGAGAAGACTGATCAGAGATGCAGCCAAGAGGCTCATGATCACTCTGGATGAACTGCAGATAACTACAGCTGAGGTAGGAGAGTCTGTCCATAGGTCAACAATCAGTCGTGCGCTGCACAAATCTGGCCTTTATGGAAGAGTGGCAAGAAGAAAGCCATTTCTCAAATATATCCACAAAAAGTCTAGTTTAAAGTTTGCCACAAGCCACCTGGGAGACACACCAAACATGTGGAAGAAGGTGCTCTGGTCAGATGAAACCAAAATCAAACTTTTTGGCCACAATGCAAAACGATATGTTTGGCGTAAAAGCAACACAGCTCATCACCCTGAACACACCATCCCCACTGTCAAACATGGTGGTGGCAGCATCATGGTTTGGACCTGCTTTTCTTCAGCAGGGACAGGGAAGATGGCTAAAATTGATGGGAAGATGGATGGACCATTCTTGAAGAAAACCTGTTGGAGTCTGCAAAAGACCTATGACTGGGACGGAGATTTATCTTCCAACAGGACAATGATCCAAAACATAAAGCCAAATCTACAATGGAATGGTTCACAAATAGACGTATCCAGGTGTTAGAATGGCCAAGTCAAAGTCCAGACCTGAATCCAATCGAGAATCTGTGGAAAGAGCTGAAGACTGCTGTTCACAAACGCTCTCCATCCAACCTCACTAAGCTCGAGCTGTTTTGCAAGGAAGAATGGGCAAGAATTCCAGTCTCTCGATGTGCAAAACTGATAGAGACATACCCCAAGCAACTTGCAGCTGTAATTGCAGCTAAAGGTGGCGCTACAAAGTATTAGCGCAACAGCGCCAAATAATATTGCACGCCCCACTTTTCAGTTTTTTATTTGTTAAAAAAGTTTAAATTATCCAATAAATTTCGTTCTACTTAACGATTGTGTCCCACTTGTTGTTGATTCTTGACAAAAAATTTAATTTTGATATCTTTATGTTTGAAGCCTGAAATGTGGCAAAATGTTGAAAGGTTCAAGGGGGCCGAATACTTTCGCAAGGCACTGTACATCAGTCAAGTGACAGAAATGTAATCACATTTATTTCACCTGAATAAGAGATACTGAGATTTCAGCAGGACTAGCAGGACTGGTTAAATAAAGGTCAATTAATAATGAATGTACAAGAAAAGCAATTACCTGGCACTTTAAACCTTTATTCAACAAGATAAATGTCTTATCTCATATTTCTGCTCATCTAACACAATAACTATAGCGGAACTTAGATTTGCCCCACATTTACAATGTGATTGGTAAGTAACCTCCTCTACCTTTGCCATATCTGCGCTCAGAGGCAACGTAGCAGCCCATGAGTTATTTGTAAAGTGAGTGTGAGTAAAAATGGTAAAACGATCCTTTTGAGTGCTGTTGAATACTGTTGTCATTTTTCATATTTGCCCTCGAGGTAACTTCCTTGGTAGGGTGTCTTGTAACAAATGATTTGCTTTACCTTAAATATTACGGTTTATTCATTGAATTTCAAAGGTTTTTAATATATTTATATATAAGATTATTAACAGACATGCCTCTCTTCATGTGGGCCTGCCTCTCAGCTTAGCTATAAATTGGTCTTATCTACTTCCATGGACATGGTAAAGCATTGATCTTGCACAGAAACTGTCACTACAGACCTTCACTCTCCAACTGACTCAGAATCACTGGTTTGTTGTTGTGGAATCCACAACTTTGCAAAGTCCTCTTCAAACAGTGAGCCGTGGCATGTCGATGTGCCTTTGGAAATGATCTATTTCCACCTATTTTGTCAAAATACCAGAAAAGAAAATTATGAAGATTAGACAAACTTTTTCTTTGCTTGTTTGCTTGTAAAACATTTTGAGGAGAATGACCTGCAGTGTCAATGAAGGCTGCAGAGTTTCAGTTTTGTATTAGTTTCCGCTGATCGTCTGCCTTGTGACTGTTGTCATGAGAAAGGTGCACCACGGCTTATAAAAGGTTGGGGAACACTGTCCTTGACAACTGCTGTTGGGATTTAGGTCTATACAAAAGAATGTAATTATGCAAAAAAAAAAACTTTCAATTACTTTCACAAAATTAATTTCACAATACTTCAGCAATAAATTAGCAACAGAATCTTTTACTGTCAATATAATTATATTACGGATTGAATTATTACTCCTTACAATGTTATTCAAACAAAATGATTTTAGATATATTTAGGGGTCTCTAAGCGAAGAGTGAGAATCACAAATGTAGATACAACATAACTTCTTGGTGTATGGTTCCAGATGATGTAAAGGTGGCAGTGAGGCTGGCTGTGTCGAGGTGCAGCACTGTGCATAGGGACACAAAAGGCGATAACTGGAGATAAAACAATGGGGGTAGGCGACCAAGGGAGTGATGGCTGAATGAGGGAGAAATCAATAGGAAATCAGTGTTTGGGGAGGGCCTGTCGTTTATCAGGTGAAACGGTTAAACAGCGTTAAGGCACTAAAAGTGAGAAAAATATGGTCTCTCCCCATGCTGGTATTGATCACAGTGGAATGGGGCAGCAGAAGGCCGAAACCACTAATAAAATAAGACGTATCTGAGTGGGAATCAACCAAGGATCGATGTGCCCGCTGATCAAGGCCAAAAACATCTTCACTGGGATTTAGCTAGTACTAGTGTCCCTCGACATGGCTCATGCTGTGACATGAGTAACACAGGAACTAGAGGAAGCTTGAAAAATATCTAAAGAAGTCCTTAACATACTTACATCATGAGAGGGATAGGATATTTTCCGCTAAAGCACAGTACTGCAAGCCGTTTTTTTGTGCAATGGAACCATATTAATCCTGACCTGTGGACTGAGTTGGATGGCACATTCAACATGTGGTGGTGAACGTTATATATATATCATTAGGAGTAGGTCCCTTTCATACTTGCTTATAATTCTTTCATTTGACATAGGGCTGCACAACTTTGCAAAATGTTTACTATTTTTGTTTATTCATTCTAGACTTTTTAGAAATCATCACTTTTGTATCTAAATTGGTATCGAGTCCAGACATTTTTAAGATAAATGGAGTTTGAATTTGTCTTAACAAGATTCAGATTATCATGTCCCGTTTTACCATAAATAAGAAAACAAATTATTTCCATCATTGCTAAGACATCCTCCACACAGACGTCATCTAGTGTGGAGGATGAATCTTGAAGCGTCCCAGGCCAGCTGAGGGACACCCCTTCAGTCTGTTTGGGGTCTTCCCTCCGGTGAGACATGCCCTGAACCTCCCCAGAGAGGGGTCCAGGAGTCATGCGAAACAGATGCCAGAGTCACCTCAACTGGAAATAGGCAGCGGCTCTTCTCCGAGCTCCTCCTGTGGGACTGAGCTCCTCGCCCCTATATATAAGGGAGTCCCAGCCACTCTGCGGAGGAAAGTCGTTTCCCATTTATCCAAAACCCTCCATGACCATTATAATAGCATGAACTGTGACATCACCCGGTATGGCACAGTCGGGTCCCTGTCCTGGAGGCCTGGGGTCGGGGCTTGCCCTCCTGTAGACTCACCGTCAGCAGAGGGTTTCATGGGGCCCAAATTCAAGAGGAATGAGTGGTGGTCAAAGACCTCAGAACCCAGTCCATGCACGCAGATAATTATTTCTTACCTAAAAATACTTTTGATTTCTTCCTGATTCATGTCAAATTGCTAAAATGAATTTGGTCTTGCTGAACATTCCTATTTGTTCAGCAAGCACTTTTTTTGAAAACGATGGCTCAATTTAAAAACCTTTTTAAAGCTATTGGATTGTTATACTTCACTCCTAGGTGTTTGGATTCCTGGAAAGGCTTGCAGAGATTATGCTAAGTGTCCGATAATGGGGACAAATGTGACAAAACATTCAAGCTTGGCTGGCGCTTTGAGGCACAAATTCTGCAAAAAAGTCCAGTAACGCGAAAGGTTTTATCTCTGACAAAGTTGGAATGCAGTAATCACGGCTGACCTTCTGACCAAAATGAGTTTCAGCAGGGTAGAGTGTTTTCTTTAATCTCTGTATCTGCCTCAGCTTTTGTACAGTCCAACTCTACAAGTGTGGCCCGACTGAAAAAAACAGCCTCAGTGTGACAAATAGCAGCAGATCATGCAGAAAATGTGCAATGCTAAACATCAGTTACTGCACATGGGAGAAATGGTGTGTTTGTGCTGCATTTGCTGTCCAGGAAGCCCTGGTGTACAAGTACGAAAAAACAGGGTCGCACTCACAGCTGGGGACTTGCGATTGAATACCCAACTTCATTTTCACAGTTTAGAAATTATGTCGAGGATTGCAAAAAAATCTTGCTTGCCTTTCGAGTTTCTTCTGATGTCTTCTGATGACGATTATGAAATCCAATAAAACTAATTAAGAAATTAAGCAGCAGATCAATAAGGGCTGCTCTGGTGAACCGTGCCGTACCTCTGAAATGGTCATTTTTTCGTCAACCCCCTTCTGTCTAGGGAATGTGTACTGCTCGGACCTGGCCAAAGCAATTGTTTCTGCCACTCCTATGTGAATTGAATCTGTGCTACACTTACTTTGACGTAATATATATTTTGTTGACAAAAACTAACTAACTAACTTCACTCCATTGGCTCTCATTTTCCGGACTCCCATATTTGTAATGTTACACCTCAACCCTTACCCCAAGGCCTGTTATTGCTTTTAATAAGTTGTAAACATTCAGGAACTGTGGCACAAAGTTTATGAGTATCATTTAAGATGCTGGTATGGTAGGCTAAATTCAAAGTAAGTTTAACAACATCTCATGGCTGTTTTAAAGATTTGTTTGTGTGTTTGGAGTTTAAGATCTGAAGGTGTCTGGAGGGTGGCTAGGTACAAAGCTGTATGATTGTAAATTAGTTTTCCCACCAGGCAGAGCCAATGGGATCTCAAGGTGTATTGGACAGTGCTGACCCTCACCTCATCTCTCTGTGCACCTCGGTCCTCTCCTTGGCCTTTCTTGCCGCCCACCGGTCGGTATGGTAACGGGGCCTTACTTAGCGGCCGAACCCGTCCATGTCCGTGGCCGGCGATTTGTCCTTGTCTAATTACGGCGCTGGTTGCAGCCCGTGTGCACATGACTAATGGAGGGCTTGGGCGGGGAGGGGCGAGGTTGGCTATTGGGGGAGGCAGTGAGGAAAGAGGAAGCAGTGGACGAGCAGACCGGCCGCTAGTGATTTGTGGACCAGGCACTCTGTCATTGCCCTGGAGCCATTTGTCTTGAGAAAGAGTTGGGAAGAAGAAGGGTAGAGATGGAGGCGATGGTAGGGGTGGGGGCTTTAGGGTAGAAAATGGTTTACAATGACTCCCATTTTCCAGCAATTCCATTCTTGACCACAACATTGCGCATACATGGATGGGATGGAATGAGTGGCTGATGTGATGTACAGTAGGTTATGACAGAAACCTGACATGTTGCTGCTGCTATTTCTTTGTTGAGCTTAGTCGGATAGCCTCCCTCCATCTGCCCGAAAAGGCCTTATCTTTTTTTCCTGTCACGAGGTGGAGTCAGTGCACTTTAACGGGAAGACCTTGTGTCTCACGTCTTCCTTTCCGCACTGACATTTAAAATCATTGCAATGTATAGTTTCTTATTGTTTTCTCATCAGGCTATAATTTTGACATTATAATTGTTCAGTGTGATATATTACATTGCAAATGCATTCCACAATGGTCAATTCTTTGCACTTGCATTTTTTTGGTCCCATTTTGTGAAACCTCCGCTGAACCACCTGCACCCTTACACCTGGAGTCGTTATTAGCCCAAAGCAGCACTTTACAGAGCTGCTCAGACAGCAGGGCCAGCAAAGGGGCAGGAATGGTAAGTTTGTATTGATTTTACACAGTTTTTATCTGCCCCTTTGCTCTTTCCCCAAGTCTTTTTAAATAAATAAACACCAGATTTGTCATGTTTGTTCAGGGAGAGGGGGAGAGTTGGGAGGAGAGAGGCCAGTAGCGGGCCTCCAGTTGGGTCAGCCATGATTCATTCTGCCATCTCATGGATGGAGGGATTTGGGTAGGATTGTTGAAGGGTGCCTGTGGAGCCTCTCTCTGACCTCCCTTGCTCCTAACGCTCCGGAGAAGCCTGGGTCCTAAATCACCAGCTGTCATTGTGTTGGCAGAACAATGGTGCAGGCTCCTCCGCTCCATCTCAGGCTGCAGCCGACCGGACACAGTTTCCTCCATCGTTAGTGTGAGCTTATAGCCTTCCTGGTCCTTCCTGGCCCTGTAGTCCCACAGGGCCCAAAGAAGCCACAAGGTTAGGCTCAGACTCACGACTCGTGAGCTCCTCTGCTCACTGTTTTACTACTGAGGGGGGAGGGATTCTAAGCATGAACCCTATGTTATCTTTTAACTTTGTAAGTGACTATTTGGTAGATTGCCAAATTTCAGATTTCAATGAAACTAATGGCTGATATGCTCTGTTTAAATTTGCACTGTACTGACAGCTAAACATGTAGTCATGTTTTACAGTGTCCTGTTTCCATCCCTCTTTTCTAAGTGGTCAAATAAGTTTCTTTTAAATAATTCATTTTATGAACTTTCATATAAGACTGTAAATACTTCCCACTCTGATTTTTGTAACAGACAAACCCCAAGGCAACATGAGTGGCCCAGACCTCTTGATCGCCCTCCTGCCCCTTTGACTATTTTACGTCTTGGGTACGAGGTTAATCTATCAAATCTCCTAACTGCAACCGGATCAATACGTCAGCGCTCCAACACTCCCTGAGCAGTTATGATGATGTCCGTGCTCCAGAGCTCGGCCACAGCGTTCTGAGCAGGGATCGAAGCCCGCTGTCACTGTGCCGGACGGAGGGAATGAATCACCATTACTGCTGCTGCTGTTCGCTTCCCGACACTCGGCTCACGTGCAAACGAACAGCACTGGAACTATAGTCTTCATTCCCCTCTATGCAGTTGGATGAAGTGGATTAGTCCCACATCCAGTCATCCCCCATCACAGCACAGAGCTAAACGCGTACTTTATCGCTCAATTTGGCGTGAGCTGGTATTTGACCCATTAGCCCCCTGCAATCTGATCTAGTTTCCTCACCACTGCTACTCCCGGTGTGAGCACGGTTCAGCGTAGCAGTGGGGCTCCAGTTACCCCCGTAATTTCATTGTAAGTGTTTAGGCACAGCCAGAGGAAGGCTGCATGTCCAACAAATAGCCAAACGTTAATAGCACCGTTTACAATATGTATCGAGCCCAGGGCAGTGTGTGTTTGTGGAGGTAGTATTTGTGTGTGTCAAAATAATATTCTAGTTTACAGGATGCAATTTGCCCTTAATATGGCCGTCTAATGTAATTTGGCGTCTATGGAGTGTCTGTGCGCGAGGCCAGGCTGGTGTGGGTTTCTGCTGACTGCTTCTGTTTTCTATAAGGATGAGTGGCTCACTGGGAGCATTATGCATCCTTTTCAGCCTTTAAAGATTACGTGCACAATAGCCGCTGAAGCATTAGCCAAACAAGGAAATATGCCTTTGATTAAAATATCCGTTATCTCCTCATTGATTACAAGCCTCAGCCGGGTAATAGAGGGTCCTAGAAGGGTCTCCTTGCTTTACTTTGATTGGCTTTTATTTTCTGTCTCCTCTCAGGTGAATGGTACAACTCTTTGTTCTGTGTTTTGACATTACAGACCCTCAACTGTATGGTTTGTGTGGCTGCACCTGCATGTGAAAGCCTGATCCTGGCAGACCTCAGACAGTAAGAAGGACAGGGCCTGGTTAGTACTGGGATGGGAGACCTCTGGGAACACCAGGTGAGGAGGCTGCAAAGTGCAAAACTGTTTTTGTGTCCTTAGGCAAGACACTTCATTCACATGAGTCCGGTGTGTGTAATTGGTTGGTGGTGGTTTGAAGGGCCGATGGCTCACACTTTGTCAGTCTACATACAGTATGTAGTTTATCAACACGTTGAAAATGAATGACTAATGCCATGTGAAGCAGTTTCCCAAAAAAATTGCGATATAAAACTGTTGCATTGTTATTTTATTATAAAAATTACCAATATTTTACTATACATTTTATTCATTCATTTTTATTAGTTATACATATATCGAAAAGGCTTAATTCACCAGAACTAAATCAAAATTACATCTATTCAATAATCTGTATGGATAAATTGAAGGTTGCTAGGGGTGGGACAAGACAGAATTTAAGGCATCACTTGCACTGAGGATGCTGTTATGAGGAATATGTCATGAAATGTTATAATGATAATCAATTATTTCTACTGCGAAGCATTGCTTGATTGTCTCCATTATCATACATTAATAAGATTACCATTCAATGTTTTTGGTGAAAAGAAAAGATTATTGTGTTTGTGAAATTCTTTGGCCTGGATTTACAAAGCATGCATGTTTTAGGTTTCTAAAAACAAGTTTGAGTGAGTGAATAAGAAGAGAAAACAATTATAACATGGTTAAAATCATTATAACAGTTGATTTTGCATAATATGTCTCCTTTGATTAATTATTGAGGCATGTACTCAGCTGAAATATGACAATGGAAAACAATCTGGCCTAAGTGAACCCTGCATTCCCTTCATGGGCAGAGCTGCTTTAGTGACAGCCGTTAACGAGAGCATCGACACCAGCTCACTCAGGAGCGCGCCTTACAATGGGACGACAGTCTCAACATCAGGGTCACGAACCGGCTGTAGCTCATTAGGCAGGTCAGAGAATCAGGTCCTGGTGGCAAAATCTTTCTTATCTGTACCTCAGTGCTGTCGATGGCAAAGAGCATCACAAGAGGTGCGTCTTGTGCGTTTGATGGAGACACTGAGCTGAATGAGAACAGATGGAGATGTGCTCTTTAATTAACCCTGCAGAATCACAGGGCTGAAAACAGGCCTCGGTCCGTGAATAACACTACTCTCCTTCAGTCTGTGTGTGTGTGTGTGTGTGTGTGTAAGCTGTTGTGGTAGTAGCCAGAGCATCGACCCATTCCCACCATCCCCCTTCCCTAGAGCAAGGCGTTTTATTTCTCATTAGTGGGCGGCAAACTGCTGGGGGATGAAATTTGCTAACAGGAATTAAAAGTGCATTAACACATCTGAGAGATTCATTTCTGCTAATAGTTTTATTAGTGCTTTGACCTTTTAGTTCATTAGAGGACTGTAAGAGAAAGGGGGAGACAAAGAGCTGTATAAAAGAGTTACAGTTACATTTCTCACAATCCGTTCACTGTACTCTAAAGTTGAGCCAATGCTGATTACATAATTGGGAGAAAAAATGGTCAACAGGGATCAGACTAGACATTGGATTAAGAAGAGTAAAGACTTACCCAGTAACTTTTCTTATTCCCACAACAGATTCAGAACGCTGACTCTCTTTAGACCTTCAAATCACATGCTCAAAATCAACCTATTTCAAAACTGCCTACACTTAACTGTTTATTTTTTATCTTTTTCATTTTTGTTTCTTATTTTTCGTCTGTAAAGCATCTTTGAGTGTCATAAAAAGCACTATATCATCATTATTTACTTAGCTTCCTTATTGTATTTGTTTATTTTATTTTTTGTTTTTACAAGTCCCACAAAATATAAGTTTTGAATTGATTAACCTTCACAACCTACAAGAAATAGTTTCAAGGTTCCAGGTCTTCTAAAACATCTCTGTGGGCTGCCAGTCACCTCACTCAATTACTAGAATTTATAACGCGTTGTTTTTCAGGTCTGTTAGAGCTTGAGTGTATCACTTATCCAGCCAGTTAATTGTTTATGAACTGCACCCTCCCCTCTCTAATGGAGTCAGAAAGCCGAGAAAAGTACAGGTGGCTGACTATAATGGCTGAAGGCAAATAACCCGCAATATGTTTTAATTGAAAAGTTGTGCCTTGAAGTCCAAAGCAGACCCCACACATTACACTGGGCAAGAAGATTGAAAGATTTTTTTTTTCTCAGAGGCCTTTCTAAGAGGGAATTAATGTTGTTTTCTCTGTTTTATTGGAAAGCAAGTGAGGCAAGTTACAGTGCAATTTGCTCTCCCCTGTTCCCTATAATTAGCACCTTACAGAAATGAAATAACATTGACGAGAAGGTCAATAATCCTGATCTATAGTGAAATTAATCCTGCTATCGACACAACAAGCAAACAGTACAATTAAGAGCAGAGGGAGGAGAGAGTGGAAAGTAAACGCTGGGGCGCAAGGCTGAGCAATAGGATGTGTTTTATCTCCTGGGTTCACTGTGCTGAAATCCTGTGAAGCTTTCTAATTAATTCATCTATTGTTAATGAAGGCAAAGCGAGGAACCAGGGATTATACATGAGCAGAGGAAGCAACACAATTAGAGATACCAGGAGAGTGATGGCTTTTTTAACTTGCTGTTGTCGCCTGCGTAGTTTACTTTACTTGAGTCATTGAAACAAGTATTTAGATTGAATGAAGTCTTTATTTTCTATACTCTCCTAATGCACTTAAAGATGCAGTCACATTATTATAAATATTGTGGGGAAATTTTTCATGTGTTTCTAAAAAGGAATAGACATGTCCAGATGCCTGCAGCCTGCAATTATTCTGCAACGCAAAATAATTATGATTTGTACATAAAAGATTCAAAATGTTTGTCATGCAAAGATTGGCGGATATGATTTTTCTGTGGCCTATGACGATTACTTTTCAACGTTTGACTGCCAGATGGCCGATTTTATTTCTACAGCAATTTCTTTAAAGCTAGCAATAAACGGAAAGTAGGGGTTAATGCTAGCTTGGTCGTACCACACCTTAGTACAAATTAAATTTCATACTAAGGTCTGGATGTGCTCCATTGAGCTCCGTTTACAGGTGGGAGGGGTTAACGCCTTTTGCAGATTGAAACGATTGGATCTGAGTTTACCGTGACGTGTGTAGCACCCAAGTCTGTTGTTAGCATTTAGCCTAGCCATCTCCTTTGCCACTAACGGAGCCCGTGGGGAGTAGCGCTACAATCTTTTCCAGCGATTACATTTGCTAAACATTCCTCTTGCTCTGGCTTCAATTTCGTGATAGAACCAAACCGGATTACTTTACTATCGCATTTTTCGCCATCGCCAAACTACAACCTGCCCGTTCGGCGCAAACTCTTGACGTCACCCACAACTAACTACAGCACCTGACGGAATTCAACCGATTGTAAGCGCAAACATAGGGACCAGACCCAGACGTTACATGCAGTGAAATGATGATTGAGCGAAGTGTACGGATGGCTAAGGCCAGGCTAGGTTAATGCCAACGCACCAGTTGGCATTTAGGGCATTTTTTACCTCATCTTTTTTGTTTGTGGTTATTTTTGTCCATTCTTTTTCTGACATTACGGTGGTAGTTTGAACAAATTATAACTTTTATTGAATATCAGAGTGGATATTCTATACAAAATTATTACAGAATATGTATTTTATTTTATTTATTATAAAATTAAAAACTTTCAAGTTTGTTTTTTGTCTCACTACCATTTTAGTACTTTTACTTTTTGAACTTTTTTAACATATTACTGAAAAACTTGATCTTGCAATTTTTGGCAACACTCTTTTTACCCAGGCTTTGGACTGCCTCAAAGACCTCACTGGAGTACACACAAGTCATGCTTGAATCAATCAAGTCTAGACAATCCATGATGCCTGTGTCCACTGCAATGGTCTCATCTTTCCCTCCATGTTAGAATATCTCTGTCCTGTCAGGTGTCATCCAATGATCCAATGCTCCTGACAGAGGGGGCATGGTGCTGTTTCCGGCTGGATAGCTTTAACTGGCGTTGGGACTGTCCCGGGTACAGAGGGGAGCAGAGGCCGGCAGTACCATGGTGCATCCGAGCGTCAGAGGGTGAAGAAGAATTGCCTTTCAAGAATTACGAGCCATTAAATCAGGGCCTGGAAATCTCAAGGTTCCCCAAGACTGCTGCACAAGGAATCTCGGCTGGAGAAATATTGTTTATGGTTTAAAAG